TTCAAGTGTTCTCCAAATGATGGAAAGGGGAGAGTTATGCCGTCCATTGCCCCCTATGAGCCACAGCAATCTATGTATCAAGACGGTTTTGTAAATATTATTCATTGGTAACACTATTATACTCCAGAAGAACATCATCCTCGTGAAATCTATCTGTCTCCTGATAGAAAGCCATCCAAGACCTGAAGCTGCTATAGGGTTCGGCGAACTTTTTGGGAGTGCCTGAATTCTTCTTCCGATTTCGCGATGTGATATTTCCATTTGCTCTATTTCGTGATTACTATAGTCTATTACCTGGCAGCCGTACAGTAGCTTACTCATTGAGAAAGTCCAATATAACTTACTGGCCATTAGTGGGCAAAGGCCACCTGTTAACGAGCCAAGCCCCAATAACGAAAAATATTTCTGTTTTGATTTGCATATCGTTTGCTTTACAAAGTCGTTGTGGTTCCTAAGGGGTATCCCGACGTGCAGCTCTCCTGTTTTTTGTTGAATTGCACAGGGGCCAAGTAAAGCGGTATCATTGCCGTCGTCGGGTCTGCCGAAAATAAGAAGCGAGCATTTACCTGGATGGAAAGTGATTCGCCAGTATGAACTGTAATTCCACACGATGCTTAATAGTCTGTTCATACTTTGCATGCTAAGAGATAAAAGTGATAGGTCATCTGCGTACGCAACTACTGAGACGTCAGTGCCACCTATACGTACTCCACATTGCTCACCCACAATATCATACAAGAGATCTGCGAGGTAGAATTGGTAGACAATCATCGACATCACCCCGCCCTGATGGACACCTTGTTCGACGTTAAAACTGCTAGAACATTCACCGTCATATAAAATTGAACAGTTATAAGTTTTGTAGGACGTGTACATCATTCTCCAGAACTTTCCATTCATGCCGCATCTGTAAAGTTTGTAAAGAAAACCATCAATCCACATTGAATTGAAGGCTTTGCGCACGTCCAATAGAGAACAATATACCGTAGAACCCTTATCCCTACAGTGGGATATAGCTTCCTGTAATAAAAATGAAGTGTGAAGTGAAGAGCAGGAATCTATCGAGGCACCCTGTAGTTGTGGGATGTGTGCCAGGAAACGATGTTTACTGCGGCTGAGCAGCACGTTGTCAAATAGCTTCCGCAACGAGGACATCAGAGTTATATCACGGTAGTGGTCCTGATCTAGTGGGTCTTTATTCCCACCCTTAAACAATGGTATGAGTAGTCCATTACAAAGACTCCGGGGGATATGTTCATGCTTACGGATAATATTAAAAAATACACAAAGTACTGATACTAGGTTTGGACCGCCGAATTTTAGGTGTTCAGCTGAAATTTTATCGCATCCGCACGCACGATTTGTGTTAAGAGCCTTAAGAGCATCATTAGTTTCGTCCTCTGTGATTGGCATATCAAGAATCCCGTCTTTGTTTGGCATCGATTCTGTTCTCAATGAAGTCACCCGCCGTTGGATGTAATCGTGGAATTGATCATTAAAATGCGGGGAATTCCCAGGTGTAGCTAGTTTTGAGAAATGCCTCATCCACGCATTGCGAATTTCAGATGGATCCGATAAAACTACACCATCCTCATCCCGTATAGAGCTAATCCTTTGTGATTTAGTTCCCCGACTCCTAGAGACAAGATGCCAATAAAGTCGTTGATCTATGGCGTCGTCTTGTAGTTTGTCCAGCTCTTTTTGTTCAAAATCGCGTTGCGTCTGAGAGTAAGCCTTCTTAAAGGCTTTGTTAGCAGCCTTATAACGTAAAAGTATCTCATTGTCCGACTGACGTGGGCGCCCTTCATTCACCCATGTGCGCCATGCAGCATTTTTGGTTTTTACCAGATGTGAAAGATTAGGATTCCAGAAAGGTTTCTGATGCTTCCGGAATTTCTTGATAGGCACATCACAAGAAGATTTGATAATCGTATCAACTACTAATTCACTAAAACTGTCAATTTCTTCATTCCTGATATCATTGGTTTTTAAAAGATGTCGCCCTTGTATAAGTAAAGGTTCAATGTTATGTTCGAGTTTCGTCGTGTAACAGGACGCAATCTCGTCATTAGACAGCTTATTCCAAGCGAACTGCTCACAAGGGGTTTTTGCACGCACAATGGGTACAATATTGAATAAATCAAGTTTTGTTAGAATAACAAGATGATCGGATGACAAGTCTGGAGAATCCTCAAACACTTCACAGTATGTTATATTACCCGCTAATTCGTGTGATATAGCGATGTGATCGATGTATGACGTTTGACCTGTGTTAATATGTGATATAAATGTGTACGTTGGTCCTACTGTGTCATTCATCATATCCCTTAAACAAAGACCGTTACTAATACACATATCAAAGAACAATTTTCCATTCGCAGATGGAATTCCTACACTTCTACTAGTATTACACAAATTGCCGACGTTTGCATTGACGTCACCCATTACAATCACCCTACCATTGTTACTACACACACCAATGAATTCATGCAATGTGTTCAGAACATCTTCATAACAATCATTAACACATGTTGATTGTGGCAAATACACAGAAAAAATGTAGATTGGTACATCTAACACAATTTCAATACAGACAATCCTATCAGTACAAAATTTAGAAACAGGTAATGTATTTGACAGAGATTTCCTCCATAAAATAGCCACGCCACCATGCCCCCATACTTGACCACAATGCATTGGGTTGAGCAGTCTGCTACTACGAGAAAGCATGTTAAAATCATTTTGCATTAAATTGAGTTTAAAAGCGTTACATTCATACATTTTGTGTTCTGATATACATATGATATCATTCTCACGCATTAGCTTATGGAGTAGTATCTGAGATGTGTTAAACCCGTTTATATTCCACTGACACAAGTTTAAGAACACCATAGTGACAGTTAAATACAGCATGTACATATAAGTCATAACTTTAATAGGACCTGTCATTCCATGCGTCATACTGCTCGGTATGGTATTTGTTTCGGATCCTCTTTACAGCCTGTTGGAACTGGCCCCGATGGTTATCATCTTTTCTATGATTATCAGATTCATTATAATTGTTAGATCTTTCATCATAGTCCTTTTCATCATAGTACTGTCTATCATCATGATCATCATTGTTTTGCCTCTCATCATACACGTAGTCATCATCGAAGTGTCGTCTATTGTCGAAATCATCATTGTTATGTCGCCTCTCATCTTCATGGTACTGTTTTACATCGCGATTGCGATGCTCATCACGTCTGGGTCGATTGATGTTACTGCTGGAACCATAGGTGGAACGACCTCTGAAACGTGGGGGGATCCTATCCTCCTGGTCCCCTACCCAGTAGCCACCATCGGGTCTCTGCTTCTGTCGCCGAGGTCTGGAAATCCACTCACGACTATTCACGTCATCAGGCCACATATCACTATCAATGGCCCTATTGAACATCGAGCTAGGTACGTATATTTTACATCCTACCCTATTACGGGAAACTTTGTTATGAATAACATATATTTGGTTTATTTTCAAACCTAAATCGTGAGCGTGTTTAAGCACTAGATCCTTTGTGGTCTCATCCGAATCATCAATACCCTGAGAGATGTTTTCCAAATACACTATACGCGATGGCTCATTTTTAACTCCACATAGTTTCTTTGTCGTTGCAGTTCCACGCCCGCTGTTGCAAGATGTGAGGACACCTGATTTGGAGAACTTCGATGTCCCCTTAACCTCCTTGTCGGGTTGAGGTTTTGTTGGAGGAATGGCGGGGGCACGGGCTGGAGGAGACGTCGAGGAGTCAATCAGCTTCGGATCTGAAGCCACTAGTGGTGGGAAATTTATTGGATCTACGGGAATTGATGCAACTGTCGTAGAGCAATCAGAACCACTACTGGTGGTCATTATAGGGGGAACATCCAACGTTGCACATCTACTTGTAGTTGCGGGTTTTGTTAACGTATTACTTGGCGACGTAGCTGTCTTAACAGAGAGTTCACGGTTATTTGAGCCAGGACTAATAGTATCAGAACTACTCACAACACTGGGCTTTTGAATAGATATATCGCTTTCACAACTGGCCCGCGGCTTTAATCCCACGTCAATTTGGGCTGCTGCGTGTTCGTTATTAGGCTTATTGCTCAGCAGGCATTCGTGTTTACAAACAGTACATGTCACTACGACCTTCTGGTTTTTTAGCTCAGCAAATGCGATTTCAAGTTCCTTTATTTTGTTGACCAATATAATATAATGTTCCTTAAGACCACTAACACCCAACGATGCTATCGTTTTAACTGCATCGGTGCCGTTGTCATCATTCACAGTGTCTTTTTTAACAAACGTCTCTATCGCAGAGATAGTCGAAGCATTGAGGACTGATCGTGGGAATGGTGATGAATCAACGTCGGCACAATATTTATACAACTCGTATATATCTCGGCATATCGCCTTCAGTTTATCGGGACCTCTACGCAATTTCAATCCCAAATCAATAGACTTATTACCAACCTCTGTCTGCCATTTAGCTTGTGCTGCTTCCAAAAGAGTTTCTCTCGTTTCACACAATAGACCCTCGTCAAACTCGTCACCCAATGACTCAACAATGTCATCCTTTGGCTCACAGTCAATTTTTTGGAGAAAGAATTGCACACTTTCTTCAATATCCATCATGTAGGGCGGCGGAACATCCATTGTAACGGTATTATCCATTATACATAGCCTATGAACTTAGATCCATACGATAACAAGTACAGGTACGAGTATTTTTATTTCCGAGGGCGCCGCCATATTGGAAAAGTATAAAAGTCACAAAAACGTGCACAAATCCATCATTTGTCGCTTCGATGGGAATTGTCCTAAGATATACTCCTCACATGTGTCTGCTCGAGACACTCATGGATGGTTTGGATCCAGAAATGACTTCCAATAGTCATGTATTTGTGTGAAAAACACTTTATAAATGCAAGTGGTACTGACACCTGTACCCAGGTTATACGCCATCTATGTACACCATTTGTTACAGATGCCAACCATCAACCTCCAATCGCCCAACCGCCATAAAAACGGGGACCATTACAATATGTCACAGTAAATGTAGCACTAAAACAATGTCAATGTGCACTTCTTGTGACAATCAAATAATTATATATTGTGGGAGGGACTTTACACATTAACCATTGGCAGTTATATAAGATATATTTGCATTAGTATTTTTGGCATTTTTTCAATCATATTATGAGACTAACATTCACCTTTGGAATGTGATATACCAAAAGTTAACTTATTGAATTGAAAACCATTAGAAGAACATATCCTTCCTCATTCCTAAAGTTCATCGTTTATATCATCAATTTCAAATATAACTTCCTTTAAAATCTGAGCATACATTTGAGTGCATGAGCACTTAGAGCTGCCTCTACCCTGGTTGTTCGTAAACGCACTGAGATCTATATGTCTTGGTTGTAATATAATTTCACCGAGTCCCATTCATAAGAAAGGATCCAGAGTCCTTTAATGTAGAATTTGGCATAGAAGTCATGGTTTTCTTCATTTGGTCATAGCTCCAGTGTAATTGTTTCACTTCATCTCTGTGTCGTTGCTTTGTCTCATTCAGTTCCAGTAGGAGTGTATCATTTGTATGTACCAGGGATCTGAAATAATATAGGATTAGGTATACTTGATATTTGATTCATCCAATGATTAAAGACACAATAGAAACAGTAAATTGAAATCGTATTATGAAAAAATGGCGGTCAGTTTTTTATACCATTAAAGTTGAGAATTTCAAGTGTATGGCTAATATCACTGGAATAGTATGTGTAGTGTACTAAAGATTAAGGACAATGTTGAATATACTTGAATTTTGCGCTTATATTACTTACTATCCATTGAGTGGTTTGTGGTTTGTCTGGAAATCCGTAGGCAGAAAATTGAGTTGCCATCGACCACTAAATTGACACTTATATATATGTTACCTTTTTTATTGAAAGGACAATAAAAGTCCAGAAGGGAATTGTTTGGTTTTGATATAGATGATGATGACGACAACAATTATGACAACAATGATGATAATAAGGATGATGACAATAGTTATGACAACAATGAAGATAATAAGGATGATAACAGCAATGATGCAGAACTTACTTGTGGCTCTCTTGAAGCATGGCTGCTAGTTGCTGCATCTGTTCATATTGTTTCAAACGAACATTCTGGCGATATATCTCCCGTTCTAACTCTCGATTCTGAACCTCAAGGTCATCTAGAATATAAAAATTAGAGTTTTTTAAAGCTAAAACTCGCATAAAGGCAATAAAATAATCCAAAAATGTTGATTGCATTATAAAGCTAAAACTCACAAAAAGACAATTAAATAATCCAAAAATATTATTGAGATGCATAAAAATTTAATAACAATGGTTCAACATGTAACTCTACCACTTCTGTAAAATAAATAATTTAGCCAATATCATATCATTTGGTTACATATGATAAGATGATTTGTAAATCAGCTCATTTATAGGCACAACACTTTTAATTTGATATTGTGTACCTCTTCAAAAATACAATATATACCCTTGTATGTAGTGTCTTTATCTGCCTATAACTTTAAGTGACTTTAGGAAAACAAAAGATTACAACATTTTGTGCACTTTCCAGTCCACATTCTACAATGAGTTCAACTTGTGGTACCATTGGCTCGATGAGAGGCCTTAATGCTCTCTAGCGTGTAGTGTCTTGCAATAGCCATAATACAGCCATCAAGTTGAAGATGTGATAGGGTCTGGATGGGGGACCTGTCATATTTACCTAAATGTTGCTGATCTATTGTTGATAGTGTTGTTTCCTTCTCATGTAGACTGACTTCAGAAGACAGCTTATTCCTCAATATTTTATTCTCATCAACTGACTGATGTAGCCTCCTTCTCAGTGTATCCTGCATTATGTTTAACAAACATTTATAGAATGTTTATTAATAAGGCAAAAATGAGTAATCTGGTAATATGGAACAACATACGCCATATGTACACCTGATATTAAACATATAAAGAGAGTGTAATCTCCTTAGCACTGTATTTGAGAATCTACAGGCTTTTGAGCTGATTCACAATTTATTATTAACAAGTTGAAAATTCGGAAATCATGAAAAATGTGGATAGTTTGACAAATATTGAACATTTGTTAGATATAAGGGAGACATACATTTTCCTTTTACCAATATTATACTTTATCTGGACAACTGATTTGTATGGACACATACAAAATTATTTAATACAGGATGGCCCAAAAGTAGAATTATAGTTTTTCAACAATCTCTTTCTGTAAACTGTAGACATTTTTTTGGGCCAATCAGTAAACTGATTGAACAATGAATTCCTCATAAGCTATAATTGAATGTATCACCATTTGTCAGGTTCAATTCTAGCAGATTGAAATTGGTTTGTGATGTGTATTAGACTTACAGCTTCTTGTCTTGTTTTCTCTAAGGCATTCTCTAGATGTGATTCTGTGGTGGACGCAACGCTTGTACTCTGATTGGTCAATTTCTTTTGTAATGCTGCATTCTCATTGGTCACTGCAGAAAGTCTTTCTTGTAAGTGTGATATTTCAGATCTTGTTGTGTCCTTTTTGTGTAGATAATTGTCTGTGATTTCTGATACCTTATCTGCAAAATATTTCATTTGTTCATGCATTATAGTTCTATATTTTCAATGGGTCACTCATTCCCATGCTTTCAGGTTGTATATAGGACTGAACGTGAACAATTCTAAAGAATCACACTCCAGGAGCAGGACAACCAAAACCATAAAGAAATATTGGAAAATGAAGTCAAATGGTAATATTTTATCCCTTTTACCCTATTCTATCATCTGCTAACATCTCCCTTTTCCTATACTAACACTGAATTAAATATAATTTCTAAGCACACTAGAACCTGTCTATCCCAAACACCATTTGAACTGACAAAAAAGTGGATTTGGATTAGGAGGTTATCACATTTCGAGCTATCCTCCAATAAAAGGTTCAGAGACCTGGATAACTTAAAATCACATACTACTATTAGGCCATAAGAAGTAGATTCTTTGTTTTGCGTCCGCTTGCTTGCACGTTTTTGAGTAAATCAGAAAAAACAAACACCTCCAAATAGCAATCACAAGTGTCTGAAAGTACCATCGCATTTCGTTCAATCAGAATCAGAAGAAATGGCGGATAATCTGATGTGCGTCAAAATTGACAGTATTGTTGATTACTTTGGTATTATGGTATGTCATCCCATTTTATCCCCATAAAATGTATTCATTTGTCAGCAAACAAGTTTGTGTTTTTTCTTAAGTTTGTGTTTGTTTTCCTTGTACCCTTGCATGATCTGGACTTTGCCAGGACGCAAAACAAAGAATCTACTTCTTATGGCCTTATATAATTGTACAACACATACTCACTTTGAAACTTAGCATTTCTGTGTAAAGATTTAGATCCATTCCAATATTTGTCCACGAGATCAAGAAGTTGTGTGAGGTAGTCAGAATAAGTCTGAGTGGAGGGAGGGGGTTTAGTAACTTTACTTGGAGAGCTCTGTGGACTCTTGCTCTGTTCTCCTATAAAACACAGGTAAATATTCAGATATATTGTGTTGTTAAAAACAAGTGTTATATCAATGGTAAATATTTGAAGATATTCAGATGTGATTTCATACTTCTCCAGGTACTTATGTACATGCACTTAGGCACTCGCAAGGAAATTATAAGAGTGTATGTTGATCACGAAATGTTGCTCTTGTTCTGGTCAAAAATCAAAAATGTATGCATATGAACTATCAAGTGGTACAGACTTCACGTTATTGATTCATGGTTTGTTTGTCTGTAAATTATTTTCAAGATTACAAAAATACATAGCACATTGATAATTGGTAATTAGAATTAATATCTATTCATTTGGATTAATCTATCACCCATTAACCATTTAATTTATTTCCGCCAGAGGAACAAGTAAAGGGTCTCGGATTGTTTAATTGTGGTGTGACAGCTGCTTAACTTTGTCTAAAAGGTGGCCAAATTTGCTGATCGATACAAAATTTAGTTACCTGGATGTGGTGTAAAGTTTCCCGTGGCCTTGTACGATGTATATGCATCTAGCTCATCTTGGAACTGTAGATTTGGGTCTTCACTAAACCTTACTCTGAAATAAACAAAAATTGCAAAAAACATCAATATTCATTTCAATATGCATTGATAACTTTAACAGGGCAGTTTTATATAAGTGACTTATTAACGGAACTCCAAAGGAGCAATTTAGGAGCCAAGGTCATGGGAATGAATACCTGCTCCCCAGCGTACGCTGATGACATTGCATTAGTAGCTTTATTCCCAGGGGCAATGGACACGTTGCTGGATATCTCATTTAAACATAGTTCAAAATGGAGATACACTCTTCACCCACAGAAATGTGTCGCGCTAACGTTTGGTAGCAACGAAAAATACGTATTTAATTTAGGGACGGACACGATAAAAAACGTCACGAAGGCCAAACATGTGGGCATACCTCTGAGTACAACCGGAGATTTTAGTGACCACACCAAGCACGCTATATCAAGTGGCAAAAGGAAACTGTTTTCGCTTTTTGGACTCGGTCATAAAACAAACGGCCTATCCCCCATTCTAGCCACTAAGTTGTATAATAGCTTTACTGTCCCTACGTTTCTCTACGGTGATCAAATCATCAACTATAAACAACGTGATGTTGAAATGATGGAAGTGGCCCAACGCGAAATTGGACGAAGGATACAATTTCTTCCCAGTAATTGCAGCAATCCAATGTCGACGATGCCACTGGGAATGTGTTCAGTTAAACTAAAGATGGACTATGACAAACTCCTTATGTTTTTCAGTATTATTACGCTTCCCATGACAAATATTTACAAACAACTACTAATGATGCGCTTTATGAGCATATTTATACAAGGAAAAAAATGGGATTCACCAATATACAGGATGTGGGATTGTATAAAACGTCACAATCTATTAGACTATGTGATCAATATGATTACCAACGCGAATTTTCCATCTAAATATACATGGAAAAGGATGATTAGGAATATAATAGGCACCAAACAGAGAAACGACTACAACACGATTTTGGTGATGGTGATGTGGGATTGTATAAAACGTCACAATCTATTAGACTATGTGATCAATATGATTACCAACGCGAATTTTCCATCTAAATATACATGGAAAAGGATGATTAGGAATATAATAGGCACCAAACAGAGAAACGACTACAACACGATTTGCGCAATGTACAAGCGCCACGACATAGGTGTAAAGATTTCGGATGTCTCAACTAGTAGAAGTGGACTACTTAAACCATGTATATGGTGGTTACTTGCAAAAATGAAACCAGAAAATCTTCCAGTATGTAAAATTATGATGCGCCTATCTACAGACTGCCATGAGCTGCGCGTAAAAAACTCTGGGCTAAATTGTATTTGCGTTTTGTGTAATACGTTTGAGGTAGAAACGATTGAACATTTCCTAAGCTCCTGTGAGGCTTACTTTGATGAACATGCCAGACTGACTTATATTATAAATAAATACAGTAACCCTTGTGATTTAAAGAGCGTTGTATTCGGCTATCACGAACATATAACTGAAAATGACATGATCCAAATAGGTGAAATTGTTCTCCAAATGAGTATAAAAAGAGCTCGTTTAATGCGAGCGTACACTGGTAACCAGATGTAAAAAGGTGACCAAAAACACTTTCTGTAAATAGTTTTGACTTTATTATGTACATGTATATGTGTTGTAGATTATAAAACTACTCTGTTTAACTACAGGTTAATAAATTAATAATAAATTAATAATAATTAACACGCAGAAATGCCACCACCTCCATTTGTTGCAGATGCTGACTGCCGAAATGCAAGGAATTAACTTGCAGAAATGTCACCACCTGTCGTATGTTGCAGATGCTGAATGCTGACTGCTGAAATGCCAAACACTCCACAAAAAAGTTGGAGACCATGGCACCATTAGCTACCCAAATGGATACCAACCTAAGTCAGTATAAACAGCATGTATTCAATATTCAAGTATGGGGCTGCTAGGAAGATACTTAACAATCTTATTCTAATTTGTCCTCTTTACATGTAAACATGTCTATAATGCCTGAGGGTGACTCAGTCATTATTATATCTGCTTATCTGTTATTATTATACTTTAAAATGTTATTGTCAAATCACTTATTTGGATATACAGTGACTCCTATATCATCTGACAGATAGGAAAACAGTTGGATGACTTCATGTACTATCTAGTAAATGTCACGAGCTATTCAATTTGAAAGGTTAGGACACTACTAAGATAATTGGCTATTCAGTATTTGAAAAAATCCTTGGTAAAATGAGCCTGCATTTATAATCTTCTAAGCACCAATTAAACTATTAATTGAAAACACCTTAGACAGATCAATTGAAATTAATCACCCTTTAGAATAATAAAAAATATGACAACATCATCTACAATTCGCTATTGTGGATGGCGAATGATATCATTATCATCTTTCATGTCTCTTTACGAAAATGAAATTGGTTGTCTTTAACAACTGAGAAATCAAACATTACATATTATATGTATAAACAACACAATTTTACAGACCGACGTGATGTCATGTGAATCTTTTGTTTCATTGGAACACAGCAATTTGAACAATAAACTATGCATGGCTTAAAAACAGAAGGAGTTATGCATTAAGGATAATGGAACATGAGGTGAGAGATAACAAACAAATCATATTGTCTTATATGACCACCACACCTATATAAGAATAGATATGGTCTGTTCAGAGTTGAGTACGTTAGCAGACTCATCAGGACTCATCAGGAACAGTAAGTCATAAGGCAATCATGATGGCTAACTGCACGCCTTCTGGTAATCTCAGTAGTGATGACAAATGTACAAATGTTACTCAAATGCAAAATTCAATGGGAATGACAGAAGACAAGAACTTACTCATGCCAACGATGCAAATTATAGTAGCAGTTATAATATTCGCTGTGAATCTTTTAGTTGTTATGGCAATTAAGCGCTATAAAAAATTACAAACAGTTTCAAACATAATTCGCGGATTCCTAGCTTTGAATGACACTACATTGGGAGCAATATTGCTAGTAAGAGGAATCTTTGAACTATCTGGAACATCAAGCAAGACAATACCCTGTCTAATTACTAACTATTTGGCAATGACATCAGCAGGAGTAACCATGACGGGTGTTCTTCTGCTCTGGATTGAGTTGTTTCTAGTGACAAAGCAAAAATGTGTAAATGGGGCATTTAGCATGAGAACTGCCTATGCTCTCATATTACTGACTGCAGCTTTTTGGATGGTATATGTCAGCAGTTTTCTTTTGTTTCATAGAAACGAGCGTACAGACAACGGTTGCCATTTGATCAACGGCCTTATTCAAGAGTATCATTTGATTGGTTTATGTATCATCACATTTCTGCATTTTATTGTTCTCTCCATCCTACAATGTTTAACATTCCGAAACCTTCGCAAACATGTGGCATATCTAAAAGAACATGGTATGATATCAGAAAAACCTAAAATGCACATAAGAACAGCCATAAGTCATATCAAAGTATCCCTGTTCAAAAAACTAAATTTGAAGCCTGACAATCCTGTGACTGTAGAGATGAACACAAATGGACTTGATGGCCAGAGTTCTCAGTTGCCCAATCCAACTCATGGATGTTCCAGTTCAACCGGATTCTATGGTCAGAATTCTAAGTTGCCCGATGCAACTCCAGGATGTTCCAGTTCAACTACCGGATTCTCTGGTCAGAAAGAAAATACTATGATGGACACTAAAACAAGATTGAAGAACAGCAATTCGCAAAATAATGATGTAAGTTCAAACAGGCTTTATTCTCAATGGTCAAGCCGCATGTCAAGTGTTGCTAAACTTATAAGCTTCATATCAATATCCTTTGTCATTTGCTATGCTCCTTTTTTTGTTTGCTTATTCCTTCATTCAATTCACCCTGGGAAGTTTATTGATGCGAAGGGAAACTACGTATACATTACTCCAGTTATAGTTTTTTGTAATTCACTTACAAATGTTATTGTGTATCTTACAAGGAGCAAGGATTACAGGAAAGCTTTCAAACACATACTTACATGTAGGCAGGGTCTTGTTCCTATGTGAATAGTATTATGTAATCAAAATGACAAAATGAAGGCAGATGACAAACCATACAGTCATAACACAGCATTGGTGCTATATACAGGGTGTCCCGAAAGTATGCCCTAGGCAGATATATTACACTGTCCCCATAGTATGTGTCATATATCATTTTAAAGCTTATCCAAAGTTACATTGATTTGCCAAGTATCATGGTTTAACTCCCAAATGGGAAAAAGTTACAGTCGTTTTAAAAGTTAGTGTTTTGTCAAAATAAAGTTCAATTTTACACCACATTACTAGTCAATGAGTCCCCCCTTGGTCATGTTAACAGCAGCAATTATTTTCAGACATGACCTTAAAAGCCCTTCAAATAGGGGTGTGGAATTTTATAACCCTCTTAAAACCTGTTAAGGCACTTCAGAAGAGTTTCCTTAGAGTTTCTACCCTCACCGTTCTCTTTTTCCAACTCAATATCCATCCTACCCGAGAAGAATTGCTGCTGTTAAGATGGCCCGGAAGGACACATTGACTAGTGATTTGGTGTAAAATTAAACTTAAGTTTGACCAAACACTAAGTTTTTAAATGTCTGTAATTTTTTCACATTTGAGAGTTGAACCATGATACTTGGTGAATCAATGTAACTTTGGATAAGCTTTATAATGATATATGACACATACTATGACTACACTGGTATATGCCTGCCTAGGGGGGGGCCCTATACTTTCGGGACACCCTGTATATCACAGTGGATAAGAATGGAACTCAACAGAAATTCTACAAAACTTCTTCATATACCACAGGGGCTTGTATGTCTTTCAAGCCTTCTTTCTATTATTAGTAGTAGTGAAGTACAGAGTGTCAATTAAATATGCCCTCCCCTATTAATTTCAAAAGTATAATCTTTTGTGCATAAAAATGCATCTAGTCATCTAGTTGAGCTAGTCACCCGAAACTTCTTGTGGAGATGCTCCATGAAGAACCGTTTTAATGTGCTAAAGAGCAATTTAGATATCATTTAGACAAAAAGTTATGCAACATTATGGGGATGAGCTAACGGGAGGGAACATATTTATTTGACATCCTGTAGATAGTAAATTGAATGAAAAGAATAATTTTATATTTTAATATGTTGAATTATTCCCATAATCTACATACATATGCAACATGTATTTTCTACATATTATAACGTCATAACAACTGAAAGATGAAATTCCATGCTATTGATTTGAAGCTATTTCACACTCAGTTTTGTCATAAAAAAAGGAGAAGATATGACATAATACAGAGTCATATGAGAAACACAAAAAGTCTTTGGTTTGATAAAGAAGAATTACCAAAGCTCATTAACAATGTATGATCTTGCTCAGGTACTCATTCAAGAACCTCTATATATTGCACTGTATTAATGTTGAATTGTTTGTACATGTATTTATATTTATATTTTCACTCAGAGATGTTTGTTAAAACACAAACTAAACATAACAAAACAATAAACTAGGCCCATCCCAATGAAAATGAGTTGCTAATGATGTTGTTCAAAAGTTTTTGTGAACAAGTAAGTTAATTTCACTATTGTTTCACCCTCTGCATAAAACAAAAATGTGAATATGTTGATCTGCCTTTTGTTTGAATTCTTAAAAGTTCAACAAACAGTACTTTACTTATGAAATTGTGATTTAATGCGCCCCCTTAACAAATTTACTTCATTCTTCTACTTGCATATAATTATAAACAAAGGGAGTATTAAAATATAATTGTCGTTGATTATTATCATAATTTGTAAGATATTGTATGTGTAGACTTGGGTTTAATAATTCAATCTAATATTAGAATGTGCATTACTATGATTTTCCGATCCAAACTGACTAAAATCTGAAAAATGGATATCTACATAAAATATTTCAAAAATTATGAAATTATATTGCACTGACATTTCTAAAATCAGCAAATTTCACAAAATAATCACAAAATTCAATAGGCTATGATAGTTTGTTGTGTTTACAGTAGTTCATGATTGTTCAAAGCACATTGTAGTATTTATCTACATGTACATGTATTATTTATGTATACACTGTACTTATTATCTCAGTATTGTTGTTATTTAATGTAATAAATTATATGTTAATGGTTTATTGAAATCAGATGTTCATAACAGGGGCAACATCTATTCAACATGAAAAATAAATTTCTCTAAACATAATAATGTCACAGTTTAACAATGATGATTATCAAAATAATTTTGGCAATGCATCAATGTCTGAAAGTAGGCATTGTTGTTTAAAAAAACACTTTTCCTCAGTTCATGCAAATATCTTTCAGTTTAAAAGTTGTTAGCTTGTATATATGCTGCAGCTATTACATATTTCAACATATGTTATTGCATGACTGGAGGTTGCCATGTATTGATGCCTTATGTGCATTTAGTATCTAACTGAACATAATTATCCATATAAGAGGACTTTTGAATACATTACAACTATTTCATTAAATGTTTGGTGAGTTCCTTTGTTACTTTCACATTTTGAATATTCCATAGCCCAAAATATCTTTTGAAATACAGCTTAAAAGATGTAATAAACCTGTTTCACTCTACATGTATATTAATTATATTTATGCTATTGTACCGAATGAAGGCCACACATTATGATGGTGAATGAAGGCCGTGAACCACAATGACTTTCAAAATTGAATTTTGACATGAATTCAATTTGACACTAAAATTCCATAGATTAAACTTGGTCGCCATGTTCCTTCAGTCAATATCATAGTGTCTCTTAGGAAATCAATGTACATTAAATTCTCAGGAATTAATTCCTTAGCCACGAAACTGATTTGTAAATATCCAGACAATTACAATGTATCCATTGGATTGGAGGAATCTTTTGAGATTAAACCTTATAGCAGATTCTCTATCAAAAAATGTTTGTGTTGAAGAAAAGAAAATTCTCAAAGAAATTCTATACCTATTTTTCTCTTGCATCTCTCTAGGGGGAGTGCCTGTAACAGCTGGTATGTGTGGGTACTTTTTAGGGGGAGTAACTGTAACAGCAGTAGTGTGGGTATGCTTTGATAGGTCAGACATGTCTTTCTTCGGAGATTCAGCCTGGAACATTCAAAACACAAATATTCACAAAATATAACTAAGATTACAATTGTCTTAAATCATTCAGACTATCTTTCAGATTGGATTCTTTGTAAAGATAAACTTTAAAGATTTGATGAATTTCTGGCAAAAAATTTGCAATTCTCTACTCTATAAATTTTTGGTTTAACTACCCTGCGCACCGAGTGTACATGTAGTTATAAACTACCCTCTGCTTAGTATAGACTATATTACAGTTTAGCAGCACCGCCCCCACGACCGATGCCCATGACAGCCCGGGTCATAAATCATTTCAAACCTACCATGTTGATCTTTTCTCAACCAATCAGCAAACTGGAAGGAGCACATGCTAAATGTGCGCTCATTAATTATGCAATGATGTCAAAGAAAATGACCATATATAGAAAGTCATTTGTTTTCGACGACGAACTCTGATTGGCTCGGTGAGATCAGAGATTTATTGTAGACTGGAAGAGTGAAGACGAAGCTCTCTTTTAAGAAGTGAAGTTGAACAAATGCAAAGGGGAGTATTTAACAGGCTTGTCATAGATATTCTCAACACTTTGGTATCAAGTACTTACTAGATCTTCCTTTTAATTTGTTTGGAAATTTTAGTAAGAACCTACCTTTTGAGATAAAGTAGGTTGTCTGGCAGGAGAGCCTGTGCTAAGAGTTGGTTTGGATGGATCTGGCAGTTGTCTGAACTCTGAAATAAAATATATTTAATTTATCTTAATTCGTCATTATTCTGTTTCGGTTATTTTTAGTTTGTCTTTTAATTTCCTTAAAAATGCAGTGTCTTATCTGAAAATGTCAGTTTGAAAAAACACCTTATTAGCATTAAGAAGCTTTCAAACAAGCTTTCAACATGACCAATTTTTTCGAGCTTCAATAATCTCAGTTAAGGTGGTATATGTAAAAATCTGTATGATTGTGTAGATTACATCATTATGAATTACAGGTATTTTGGGGTTTATTTACAATGAAAGTTTTTAGCTCTTTAAAATTGACACAAAAATATCTTTGTTCACTGTCATAAAATGTTTTAACAGAACTGGAAAGCAATACAGTGTATATTAAAATGTCATTCATGACATGTCATTCCAGAATTTTTCCAAATGTGCAAAATCTCAGACTTAAATGTTTTGAATTTTTCAAGCTCATTTATGTTTATATTTAATTTTGTTCTACTTGATTGTGCATATTTATTCCTTTTAAGATAAGAAACCCATTGTAGACATTTGAAAAGTTGAAGACTGGCACCGTTGCAATTTGTGAGTCTAGGTATTATGACATGTATATAGACAGTGATACTGCCCTCCCTGAAATCAAGCAGGAAATACTCGCTTGCCCATGCTTGTGTTTTGCTTACTCATTGCTGTTGTATATATGATCGACACCACACCCTATTAAGTACCTAGTGAGAGCCCTGAATGGGGTCACCTACCATCAGCAGTATAGTGCTGTTGTGTACTGGATCTGGCTGAGGACCCTGTTAGTTGTCTTGGTTGAGAAAGGTCTCCTCCTGTCCGTGCTATGAGATCTAGTAGTTCTACATCATCATCATCCAAACCTATGATAGAAAAGGGAACTCTATTCACAAATAAATCGCTGTAGTTAATACACTATAGACAATAGTGGAACACCTTTTTAGAGGTACCGAGGTATTCACCTTAGACAGGTATTACTGTACATTAATCGCAACACTCGTTTCCCCTGAGAGCACACATTTTTTATCAATATTCCATAAAATGGAAAAAAAAAGATTTCAAAAATGTCAAAAATTGCACCTTTACTTTTGCTAATCCTCTTTATGATAAAGAGGACTGTTGCTGCTAATTAATCATTGACATGACAAAATGCCCAAATTTTACCTGTTTTTGTTAACTTTCTAACATGTTCTGCTCTTGGATTGGATGGCTTCTCTGGAGATGAATGCCTAGGAGGGCTGTGATTGGTAAGTTCTGTAGCTTGATCTGTTGCGAAGTGTTGAAGGGCTGCCTTACGTTCGCTGTCTCTTACAGAGCGATCATCTGCAACAGCAAACAACAAAGTCAAATGATGCACATCATTTGAAAGATCGTGAGAGTTGCTGTGTTATAGGCCTACTAGGTAGGTGATTTTCTCAATTCCAAGTTGAAGTTAAATAGTACACAATTCAAGTGAAGCACATGCTCATCTTTTTTTAATGAAAATAAAGAGTCTCGAGAATAGAAAGTGCTCAATGTGACACCTCCCCCAACTCAGAATATGGCCAAAACACCAACCTACACAAATCACTAGTTAGACATCCGCCTACATTACTCACCTAACCTCCTAAGATTTGGCAGCATATGTATGAGATATAACCTGTAATCTGGTTCAGTCCTGGCAACTGGGTTCAATCTGAGATCCAAGTCTGTTATAGCTGGATTGAGTTTCAGTCTCTTCAGCTCTGATAGACAACTAATGTTGTTGTAGTATCTAATAGAGTTAAGGGTGGGTAATGGGACTGTTTGTAAAAAGGTGGCAGAAGGTAGCACAAGTCAGTTTTTTTCATTTCAAAAATTTTGATATACACTTTTGTAGTATAAGTTTATAAGAGTGAAAATAGATCATTTATTTTTCTGAATCTAAAAACTCCTGAAAAATGGGTCAAAAGTACTAAAAATTCTCAAAGATCTCTTCAGTTGATCAAAACAACATTTGTCGAAATAGTCAGTTTTTAATCAAAGATATTCCCCAGTTCATTCCATCATACAAACTTATAAACTCAGCTCCAAAAATATGTCAATGACACTCTGCAGTCTACTAGATCATAAAGAAAATCATATATCTGAATGTTCTTACCTGTTCTTGCTACTGTGCCAGGGTTAAACTAATCTACATCATATTACAACTTTATACATAACATTTTCAACTTCCATTTTCAACTTACCGCCAAAATTGATATAGCCAATCTCTAATGTTGATTTTGTACTTAACAACTTAAGCCTCTGTTTATTCGGGTATAATGTGTAAATACTGGAATTCAACAAATCAAGAAATTTTGGTTTATAAGATGAAGAAAACAATAAGTTTTTTATATTTTTCATAAAAAATGTTTTGAAGAATGTCTTGCTATTTTTGAAAAAAGTATTGATTCAAAAGGGAAGATTTTCTGTAAAGTAATATATAAAAGGCATTGACTTTATACTTAGAGAACTTTATTTGAATAACAATATTGATAAGTTAATCTTAATACCACAATATTGTTATCATAACAGCTTACTGCATAAATTTAAGTAAAACATGTCTTTAAGTGCCTACTTTTGAAACGAGTTACGAGTTACAGCCTAACAGCAAGCTAGCAATAAAAATCAAATAAATCGGTATATTATATATAAAAATTTGTTATGTAAGAACTTTAGTAAGGGATTCAGACATCTATGCTGAGGTAGTATTTCAAGGATTACTCCTTTAAAACTGGATCAGGATTTCGATGAAGAACAATCTTCCTATAATTTTTGTCCTATGTTTAATGTTCAATGTTTACTTTCAAGAGGTATTCAGTGTTCATTTGATTTGTTCAGTATTTACCTGAGTTCTGTTTACTAGAGGTGTTCAGTGTTATATTTTGAGGTTTTCAGTGTTCACTTGAAGTCTTTAGTTTTTGAAGTGTCCAGTGTTCAATTGAAGCATTTTATAATCACATAAGATGTTTTGAGTGTTTTACAGGTGTTCAGATCAGTGTTCATATGATGAGCTTATTAGTGTTTACTTGAGGTGTTCAGCATTTACTAGATGTGTTTAGTTTTCAACCTGAGAGCTGCAGTACCTCATCATGATAAACACATGCACTTCACTGTAATGTTTGAGTAAAGGATACACATTCAATTTTTCCAGGCTCTTCAAGTGGTCAAGTCCCTACAAGGAAAATAAATAATAGATTGTATAAACAAATACAGAGTAGGCAAAAAAATGTTACCCATTCTGATTCTAATATAATAATATAATATTGAGGGTAACATTTTTGACTCACCCTGTATAACACACCTGTTAAACCAAAATGAAAATCATACTCAACCGAACAGTAAATATGGCATCCCTATAAATGCATAATTTACATGCTTAGTACATTTAACACAAGATGCACACTTGAAAATTACCTTGAATATCACTTTGAAATTCTATTTACAATCAGTTAAAGAATTTGTTCAGAAAGTCTTTTGGGCCAGTGTGAATCTTAGGATTTTTCTATTACTCCCCAATTGCCAAATAACTTGTGTTTTTACACCAGCCAGTGAAAAATTATGTTCGCCACAAGGCATTAACATGACAAAATATCACCACCTAGTTGCTCACAATATCATGAGTTCATCTTACTTCAGATTTGAATTTCTGAGAACTAGTAGATGATTTTGAAAAATTAAACTGGTCAATTTGAAGCAAGTTGAAAAAAGACCTTTCTGACAATGAGAAGGTCATTGATGATGAAATCTCGATTCTAAAGTCAGATTTGAACTTCTGAGAACATGTAGGTGATTTTGAAAAAAATGGTCAATTTCAAGCAAGATGAAAAAATAAATTTTTGACCTTGAGAATGTCATTGAAGGTCAAATCTTTTTTGAGTTTGAGAATGTCATTGAAGGTCAAATCTATAGTCAGAGTTGGACTGTTGAGAACTTGTAGATGATTTTGAAAAAAAATTGGTAAATTTTTCCCACTTTTGGAAGTTTATGAACTATCAAATTGATTAGATGTTGATAAATGGAAATTTGTTTCTACCTCTAAGCTTTGTAGACCATTCCTAGAAAGATCTAAGTTCTTCAACCGGGAGAATCCTCTCAGCGATGTCCCAAGATGCCCTATCTTTTCATGATACGTTCCAGGTAATGTAAGTGTCCGAATATCCTCTAAAAAGAAACTGCTGTTGAAATGTGTTTCTAATCATTATATTCTATGAAACCTGTGCATTTAAATCATGTTTAAATCGAGCAAAGATATAATTCTTTTCAGTGTGTTGAGAAACCCCTATATATGTGGGGCTGATTTTCAAATCACCCCACAACTACTTGTGTATTGAAATCTTGAGGTTGAAAAGAAGCTGGATTAGTAGTTATTTATATAGAATTCAGCTTTGTGTCAACAAGAGGACAGGGAGGCAGTCTTCCATTTAGGTAATTATTGGATACTGTGCATAAGCGATAGCATCATGTAGTCATTTGTCTGACATTTAACCTAGCTACATGGACGACATTACCTCGCTCGCTGTAGTTTACTGAAAATATTTTTCAACAGCAAGATTTCAAGACCCAATGATTTGCGAAATCAAGCCAAAATTTACGGGGGTGGTTGGGATAGACAATTCAAGGATGACTTTTGAGCTCATGACATAGAGGTTGAATCCAGGGGCTGAATAGACGTCTACTGAACGCATTGGAACTATCCCCATGAAAACAAAACCTGATACAATACTTGTATGCTACGCTGAAGTTGTTAAACTACAACTTAAGACATGATCAATCAAATTATGGAATTGAAGTTGTTTGTTTTGAAAAATCAAAAAAATTTCTTGAAATTTTCCCATTATGATTATGTCATATTTTAGCGAATCAAAAAGGACATACCACTGAACATTGATTTTAGCGTGCTCAGTCATGAAATCATTCTTGTGAACATGTAATTTAATTAGTACGCATACCTAGATTGTTATTATTTAGCTCTAATCTGGATTTAATCCAATTTTCCGAGATTGTGAGCGCCATTTTTCAAACAGTGATGCGCATGCGTATTGAGGTTTACACTGAACGAAATGATTTGAACACAATCCCGGGAAACTCATAACTCGTTTATTGCCACTATCATGCTGCCTGAAGTCAACTGTTACAATTGAAAATATCAATTGTTCTATCTATAATGTTCGTAAGGTATTTTATTATCGCTAACTCTATTTCTATTAGTTTAAAATATGAGGTATTGCAGAATAGGCCTAATCTTCATCTCTGTATTTGAAACAGTTCATTATGCCCTGATGAGACTAATGAAGATGATTCTACATAATGAAAACTGGGTAGACAAATAAGACATAGATACATGATATGTGAAAAATATTCGTTTGACTAATTGGCTTCTTGAAAGATAGCATCGTCTACACTCTGACGGAGGTAATTTTTTGGCTAACTAACCTCTGCGCTAAGGTTAACTACCCTTATCATAGGCGGAAACCTAGTTTTTGAAATTGACCTATATTTGATACCCAGATCCAATACCCCCCCCCCCCCATCCCCCATAGTAAATACCAAGAAACTGGTTATTTACAGCCTGCTATAATCCACCAGAACAACATTTCTTAAAAACTCTATGAGCCTCATCAGATAACTTCCTCAAACAAATAAAATGGCATTTGATAATAACTCAAGTACCAGAGTAAAATGATGGAAAGTGAATCTAGGGTACTTATTATAAAAATTATTGCCACTTATAGAACTTCTTCCAATTTCATTTTCCGTCGATAGAATATATATCGTTTTGACGATGATAAGACAATTAATTTTAGAGAGTGGAACGGGTAATCGTCGTTAGTAGGAGCTTACTACACTACGCAATATCTATTAGGGATACTGCTGTACTGTTGCTTGGACATGTTTCGTTATAGGATTGATTTCAGTAATTAAATATTAATGTTATAAAAATGAAGTCTAATCAGCTAAAATGATAAGATTGTTATTTGAGACTGTTATATTCACATCCGTCGACAAACTTAGGGCTGTCCTGGGAATTCGAGGAGTGTCGGGAGCGATAAGACATTACAGCGCCATTACGCAGTCACTTCGGCATACTCCACTGGACATCGACACGTCATGTGGAAGATAGCTTTTCTTTTTCTTTCCGTAGCTGCGGTTCTCGCAGAAAGGAAACGATACGATGGGTAAGTCAATTTTTATATCTTAATTTGTATACAGTCAACTAACTATATGATGATTGAAGTTAAAAAATATATGGATTTAAAAAATTGAGTTGTTTTAGTCATTTTTTATCATGAATGCCTTGAGTGATTTTATCGTGATACGTTGTTAATCATATTTGACAAGTGCAGACTCAAGACATAAAATGATTTTAGGTACACTGGTATATCAAATCACAAACTACGGATTGCCTGCTCTAGTAAAATACAAACGAAATCTAATTCATCCATTGTTTTAACAGTAACATCTCATATATTATAGCTCACTTATACTTACATTTTTTGTTTAGAAACCTGCGTGAGGCGCTAGAATTGTTTCGATTTGATGGATATTGATCAAAGACCATTTACTGGTAAAATGAAAATTAAAATTAAAACAAAAACAGAAAATATGAAGTGGTGGAAGTAATTTATTCATCAGTTACTATTATCTGGGTATCGACTATCCAAAATCATGATTGCACAAAAATATGGACGTAGCCAAGATCTAACACCAAACAAGACATTTAAATACGGTGAGGCGAAGAATTGGGTTTGATACAACAGACTTCGTTTTCAAAACATGTCTTTTTAAAACATATCTTCATTGATCATGATCATGACGTAGAAGTTTTTCCTCTCCTGCCTCATGCTTGACCACGTCCATGGATACTGAATATCTTGGTATCCATTGTAATTAGTTGTAAAGTGATGGTTCACATAGATTAAAAGATAATCTGGCATCAAATTTTTGGATATAATAACTCATAATAAACACGAAACGAATGTTTACCGTCCGACTACGATAGTGCTATTAATTTTGCCATACGATTCACAAATAAACACCTAATATAAGATACAGTAGTTACTAAATACCGACATACGAAATGGATCATGATAATTGGTGTTCACGTGGGCTGGTAATAAATTGCAGTATAATCAACATTGGCAAGACGCTTAAAAGTCGATGAAATCCGCCGAGGGAACACATTCTCCCATTTAATGCCATTAATTGTAACCAGGTGTAGAACAATGGACAGACCCATGGGTATTATATAAGACAATTGGTATGAATGGAACCCGAAAGTTATATAAATGCTACACATTCCATAGATCGGATACATTTCTTGCAAATGATGGTTTAACGGCAAATGTTTTACAGTAGAGGTACACTCCCCTCCATACGTTTCCCAACCGGACTTTTTCATTGGATCGCATATCAGAGCCTGTCATTGGGTGGTTCTCTGCCGTTTTGTTCCTTGATTGCGATTTTTTGTTTGGTGTAATTTTCCACTGACGTGTATAGTATTGAGTAATGTAATGACGTACTTTATGACTGTAAGAAGTCTAAAATCAAGGAAAGTAGGTCATCGGGTCAAATATTGGTGCTAATTCTAGTCTATATCTGAAAATGACGAAGGTCATAGAACAGCAAAAAAGTAACAGCATTTTTACCATTATTTATTGAACACCCTGGATGTTCTTATTTGCTGCGTGTGTTTGTTAGTTTATTTGTTTTGCTTTTTGTTTGCTCCGCCTTGTCAATAAATGAAAGCGTATGAGCAATTTTACAAATTACAATCAGCAACGTTTATTCGTTTCTTCCATTTATTCCGAAGTAAAACTCTCGTAAAGACGCAGAAATTCACGCAAATTGTATGGAACTAAATAACAACGCGCAATATTAATAAACTAAGAAATAAAGATCCAAAATAAAGCAATTACGCGTGAGACATTCGCAATAAAGTACTCTTTAAACTAATACTTAGAGAACAACTAGAACGATTAAGTACCTTCATACAATTCACTTATTGGATGACAGTTTCTAATAATGTCAATTTTCTTGTCGGAAATGCTTTGTTCGAGGAGTTATATCCGTGAAAAGAAACAAAATTAAGAGCTTATAAGTGGAATATATTTGTCAATGTCTGTGATACCTTTTGAATCTCACCAACCACGCACGATGTGAGATTTATAGATAAGGAGCAAAATGATTTATTGAGGATTCCGTTATCCAACTAAAGATTCTTCTTAAAATACGCGACTGGCCATGGTCATTGTCTCTATATCCTCTCGAATATCTTTTCAAAAAGGAGGGAAATGTTACCCGTCAAACTGATGTTTCTTCAGGACCACAATTAAAAATAAATAGAGAATACATGTAGGAGCGGGTGAACTAAACTTTTTTCTAAATAAATAAATTTTTATTTTTAATGTAGACCAACATAACAATTACGATATCTTAGAATGGTTTATTTCAAGTAAGTGATATGATTAAGAATAAAACAGATTTTCAAAGATTTGACTCGAAGTGAACTAAAGTTGTTACCCGTCCATGTCATCTGTAGTACTAGAGATATTAAGCTCTCGCACATATTTTTCTCAAGACAAACATACAAGAATAGGGGACGTGGAGAATCTACCAAAAATATATTTTTCTAACGATTCCTCGTGGCTTTCCGTCACGCTGTTTGGCCTATAATTAACGGGGAGACACGATCTCTAGAGAAATAGGTGATCTACGTTAGTCAAACCGGAGGATACATCACTCATATCTCTAGACAATATATCCCCTGAGGATGTGCCCGCACAACCCACTATTACACCACCCCCATATTGAAATAAAATTGTGTAGTTGACAATTTGTTTGACATGTGATGACGTACATGGTACGATATGTCTGGGTTGAGCCTATTCATACCATAACAACTGCACAAATACGTTACAATTAATGAGAAGCAAATAATGAGGGAGCATCGCTCGTTCTTCTTATCAATTTGAAACATGTCATCGAGGACTAATAATAGCTACTCTTTGTAAGCGTGATCACGTACTCGCACTCTTTAAATAAGCAATAAACATCCAATCAGAGTCTGGCGTTTGTTCAGTAATGCTAGTCTATCTATTCCGAGACACTGCATGGGAGTTCGATGTTTGCAAGGATGAGAAATATTTTTTCACCACAGGTTCATAAAGTTGGAGGCCAGAGTGTAGAAAGCCATCCTAATTAGAGTGTAGGTGACTGACTGGTGACCCCCGCTGAACTTGACTGGAAGAACTGTTTAGTCTAGCATTATTTAAATTATTTTCAATATTGACCATCTCGATCGTTCAAGTCATACTCGTTTCCTAGTTTTGATTTTGGAAATCCAAGATGCGTTCAAGTGGTGATTTGCATCAAATTGCATTCTTGCTGAATCTACTTTTTCATCACGATATAAATAGCGCACCCTTGTTTCCAAAATAAGGTACATGCATCATCATTAATTTTTATATTTAGAAAAATGTTCTCCCAATTTTAAAAAGACTTTTCCCACATTATTAATTTCACTGTGATCTTTGTTCAGATTACATGCTTATGCTGCTATAATGGAAGAGGGAGTGGGCCGGGGCGTTGACACATTGATATTTCACAATGATTGGGTGCTCCCATCAAAGGTTCAGTGCAGACTATATAGTGCTCCATATAACCAGATCCACACAGATTTACTATTCAAAGGACCCGTAAACCTTTTTAGCAATTCAGTGTCATTTTATGAATGTTAATTTCAGGTTATTGTAAGCTACATGGCCGAGACACATTTCGTTCATCTTCGACTTTCAAGGTACACTGGGGATCAACTGGAAACGAAGACATCAACACCTTCGTCCTTCAAATTTCATCTTAATATTTAGTCCGTGTGCAGTACATGGGTTCCGGTTTCGAAATTCACCTAAGAAATGCATAAGCTTACAGTAATAGCTTTGATAGTTGCAAAACAATGCAATTCCCTCGCTTAAAAAACGAAAACAATTTCTGAAAGAAACGAAGACAGTTCATTTCAACGATACCTGAATGTCCTAAATAAAATGATATTGCAGAGTCGTAAAAAGAGTTGAGTTCATCCAGGACATCTACAATGTGTTTTCAAGTGCAAATATGACCCTCTTTAGGGATATTACAACGTTGGTATATGCAGTAGTAAAATGAATGTCTTCGTTGCTAGTAAAATATCATCCTTGGTCCAAGGGTATTTCACTTCTCTCCTGAATTGAGTAATAAATGAAGTCCTCTGAATGAAGGATGGTAAAAAATGTCTTCGTATCATTGCTACAAAACCAAAAACTGTCTTCGTTTCCTAAGCGAGTGAACTGATTTGTAATTGCCGAAATGATTACTTAATATCTATTTCTGTTATGTACTCATATTTCAAAACCGGAACCTACACACTACAATGACAAAGATCAAGTTAACATTTTAAGGATAAAGGTGATAAGATCAAGAACACAAAAATTATTACCAAATTATTCCACCCGAAGTCCAGCCATGCTGAAACGAAGACACAATGTCTTCGTTTCCAGTTGATCCCCAGTGGGACATTTTAAGACTACCTAAATTTGGCCGAGCACGAATTCTGTGGAATGAAAATGAAATATGTAGATTTTTATTACAATATAGCCAAGTAATGCACTTCAAATGGAAACATGTGGACTACGCATACTTTGATAATGATAAATTCCGACGTATAGTTTTAAGCTAATCAATTACAGGTATCCCGAGGGAGATGAAACTAATAAGTGAATACAAATTGTCTCATATGCACACTCCAAAATGCAAATATCGTAAAATTAGCGAGACACAAGGGCGTGAGTATAGATTTATTTTATTTGTCATATAACTAGGAAACAATAATATCTTCCCATTTGTGCCATTATGAGCTGATAAATCAGATTTAATACAGATTTGAAGATGGAAAGAAGAAAATACTAAAGTAGAGTATTACAATGTAATCTACAATATTTCTCGATATCCATGCTCTTATCAGAGAAATCTCTATAATTCTTAATTATACATACATTCAAAGTTACTGAATGTCAGCTGTAATTTCCCTTTGCATTCGTTCGACTTTAAAACTAGACTCTGCGCGCAGGGTAACTTCAGAGTAAGTCCAGAGATTGGTTAAAAAATAATCGGATTCCAGCATTTCATCCTTACACAGGCAAAA